AATTTAAGGGGTCAGTTAAATCTAAAAGTTCATGCTATATGTACAACCAAAAAAAGATTTTGTATTTCTATAAGTGGGGTCAAATTATGGAATAATTTAAGTGTGGACATGAAGAACAGTACTAGAACTGAGGAGTATAAATATAAATGTATGTGTCATTCAAGATATACACAAGATTTAGAGATTTAATCAAGAATGCATGAAGGAAACACTCTGTTTTAAGTTTTCTGTGTATTACTTGTTGGTGAAGAAGAGAATTTTACTATGTTTAGATACTGCTTGCAGCCAATGATGCATGAAATTTTTTGTATAAGATGATTGTTCTGGGGTAGGACTGGATAAGTCTGACTTCTTCCTACTCCATTCAAACATGTGCTGGGTATAAGCAAACTGATTCTGGATTAGCAGTGGTTGGCTTTGTGTAATTATGTGTGTGTGTTGATGTCATTTGTTCTGCATGTTTGAAAGAATAAATCAAATCAAATCAAACAAGGCTCAGCAGGCTAGAATTTTCAAATCGGACTCAAACATGTACAGTACCTACAATCAGTGTATATTTAGTGCACATAGTGGGCAGGCATCCATTGTGGTGTAGGACACAGTAATCAATAGCAAATGGTAGAAGAACTTGCACACCTGCTGCGACAACCTTGTTTATTTTTTGTTCTATTGTTGCTGCAGAAAAAGATGAACAACAGTAATGGGTTTGTGGTCAGACCTGTTGCATGATTTTAGCAATGTTTTAAGCGAGGTTATAGCTAATATATTTTCACAAGAGTGTGTTGCACTAAACATTCGGCTAATGTTAACTCTCATTAAAACTGTAGTGCCTACAAGTGCAGTTGGACTATTGAAAAGACTCCAGTGTCTTTTTGAGTGCTACTTACAAACGAATACTTGAGAGATCCTGAACCATCCCCCCCACTCATTAATTTCCTTCAGGTGGCTCAGACTGAAGGGTTAGGTTATTTGCAGAATGACCAATAATGCTGTTCCCAGATAGCTTTTATTTCAGGCTATCTAAGTTCATAGTTGTGTGATGCACCATAAAAGCCATGAGGGTAAGGACTTGTTTGTATGCAGCACCTGTTTGCAGCAGTAGGAAACCTTTAGTAATTTAGCTTGAGTTAAAGAGTTGCTTAAGAAGCAGGTGGTCACTAATATAGTCATAGAAACAGATGCTTTCAATCAATTTTTACTCTGGGTTGGTTTTTAATTTTTAGTTTTACGTTTTAACGTTCCAACCAGAGTGATATTATCTCATTAAGGAGAATGTGAGAAATGTAAGATCTGATAATGTGTTGAGAATGTATTGGGTTATAAATAAATAATTTATTTTGTACAGCAGCTGCCATTCCTAGAGATTACAGAGAAAGGACAAGTACCCCCCCACTTTGGCTCAATCTTCTCCACTGATGCATTACAAGACCTAGGAGCACTGGAAATCAATTTTCAAACACAACTGGGGAAATGTTGCTCACATTAAGATCATTAATAGTTAATTAAACTGCCTTGAAGGCCGGGGGTTATGTATCTGTATGTGTCTTGCGTTTGCTAGGAGTGAGCTTAGAGCAGGGCACTTGCTCTCAATGTATTTTCAGATGGAAAAACAACTTGATGTTGGTCAGCACAGTAGTTGTTTAAGCAAAATAGAAATTGAATTCTGTGTGTGCATTTGTAGTTGGAATTCACTGATGAAAAGAACACCTGTGATTAATGGCAAGCTGTTTCATTTAAAATGTGCTGTCACGGTTCTGCTTTTTCTACAAATGTACTGTAACAGCCTTGATAAATAACATTTGTATTTGACTTATCAAACCTAGAATCTGTTGAAGCAGCAAGAGTTCATACCCACCCTGACCCAAATGTTTTTTTTGTTTTGTTTTAATTAGATATTTAAGGGTTGAATATTTAGGGCTATAGCAGATACTGTTTAATGTTCCGGAATAAATTAACACCTGACCTAGAAAGTCTGTAAATGTTAAGACTTAAGAGTCTGACCTTCTTGATTTCCCCTAGAAGTAATCCAGATGAAGTGATACAGACACATGTATTAACAGATTTCACAGAGCGGGGTGTGTAAAAAAAAACAACAAAAAAAAAAAAAACTGCTCATCTAAATGTGGCCGTTCAGACAGAGAGGCAGAAAGTGACTTTGAAACACTTGATTTTCCATTTGTGCAGAAAGTGAAATGCTGTTCCCTCCTTCCTACCTTGTGCCCTTGAGTAGCCACTAGTCACTTTATTGGAGGTGTTCAATAGCCTTTAGCAGAGGACTGAATGAAAACTGCATTGTGAATGTTGAGCAGGGCTTTAATGAAATGCCACATAGTAAATGTAATCTCTCTTTGTATTACGCACTTGCCGAATGTGGCCTGCGGTTCTGGGTTTGGGAGGCGTTTACTGATTGAGAACCATATTCTTCTCACCTGCTGTTCTCTCATATTTGCAGGGTATAAACTAATTGGAAGTCACTCAGGAGTGAAGCTTTGTCGATGGACCAAGGTGATGGAATTCACTGTTCTCAACAGAGCATTACACCTTTTGACAACCTGAATGCATGAATGACACTGAAGCTGTTTCTGTTGGTTAGTCTATGTTGCGAGGGAGAGGAGGCTGTTACAAGCACACTTTCTATGGTATTGAGTCCCATCGGTGCATGGAGACTACCCCCAGCCTGGCCTGCGCTAACAAGTGCGTCTTCTGCTGGAGGTATGTACCTTAAGATTAATGATGCTGCAAAGTTTAACCTTTAAGTACCTGCTAGAAAACATGTTAGGTATTCCCTGTTTCTGGTCTTTCTCAGTGCCCTCAGTCAGGCTGCCAATAGTGACTTCATTACAGAGAATCATGGGAAATTCAGAAAGAATTATGTTTCTTTTATCCCAACAACACAATTTAGTACCAAAGGGATTCATTTAGCCAAAGTTAAACAGAACTAACCCATATTTTATCAAGGTAACTAAGTGCTCTGGGGCCAGCCAAAAGTTTCTCTTTAGAAGAAGATTTATTTTATTGTAACATTGTGACACGTACAACGAAATTTTGTTTGGAGCTGCATGAACACGTGCTGCCATCACAGGCAACTTGGGGGCTTCAGTGTCTTGCCCAAGGACACTTCGACATGTGGACTTCAGGCACCGAGATTCGAACCTTCAACCTTCCGGTTGGGAGATGACTGCTCTACCCACCGCACCACTGTCTTTCTCTGTAGCAAATTTTAATGCAGAAGACTAATGACCAGCAAAACTGTTGAGAACTAAAGGTGGACACTGATTTGTCACGACACTGGTGAGAGACTCGGGCTTTTACTCCCCTCAGGTTCCATTTGGAAAGGCGATTGTGTTGAGCATTGAAAGGTCGCTGTCAGAATGCATTGTGGTGAACTGTTGCCCTGTCACCTCAGATATGCCAGTCTCTCTTAAGGCAGCTGTGTGGGATGACAGGGGATAAGCAATTTCAGGACACGGCTGTATGCTGCAGCCACCCTTACCATCCTCCTCTCTGCAACAACAGGTGGAATTAGATTTTCATGGGCAATGCCAGTGTGTGTGTGGTGTGACTGTGTGCATATGCATGCAACAGACTGTCTGAAATTTGTGATGCCTCAGGATTTGTTGTTGCACTCAGATAGTCAGAAGGTGTTATTAACACCCAAAGGAGGTGTATTTTTTCAGTAGGATGCATTCTTTCACTTCATATGTTTTTTTTATAGGGTGAGAATGCACATGGCCCACATTTGACTTGCAGTTTGTGAATAAACTTTTATAGTCTTAATATTTGTTACTTTGTTAGGATTCTCCTCTGCTTCTAGCAAAATATAACTGTTAAATAACGCCAGCCTTGGAGTGAGCCTGGCTCTCAGCTGGTACTTGGTGCTCCAGCAGGCAATGAATAAGTACTGTAATAGCATCCCTGACTGAGTGGGTACAGTATGTTTGCATTTCTCTTTTTATGTTTGTGCCCGACTAACAGACATCACACCAACCCTGTGGGCACAGAGTGGCGCTGGAAGATGGACCCTGCTGAGAAGATTCTGCAGGATGCTTTGGAGAAGCACCAGCACATGGTTCGACAGTTCAGAGGTAGGTGCTTTGGCAAGTGGCACATCAGTCTTGTGTCTGGCTATTTAGCAAATGTTAATTATTCTTGTGAAAATACACATGGACACACACAACACAATGTCTTTGTTGAGCACTTTACCTGTTTGCTATCTTTAGCTGACCTCTTGTAACCCTGCAGTTTGTGTAATGATGAAGTAGAGTGAAGTTTTGCTATAATATTAGTCACTTCTCAGTCCTTAGACACACACCACATGCACCTCCACTGTCTTATTTCTCACAACTTTACTGTCTTTATTTCCTCAGCAGTAAACACCTTTTGTGGTGTAACCTGAAGCTTCTACAAAATCTGACCTAAATTAAAGTTAGCCATCTGTCATTTTTGGCTCTGTTTAGCATTTGGCACTTATTTTCTATGGTTGCTACCAGCACTGACTGCAGATAGCAGGTTGGATACCCAAAGCTCAGTCAAACAGAATTTACTAATTATCCTGCGAATATTACCTGAGTAGAATTTCTCTGGAAAGTTTTTAAGAAATGTTATCAACACATGATAGTGACACATTTATAAGACCTTTATTAAAGCAAACAAGTACTGATTGGAAAATGGCCTGTATTCCACATTAATTTAAAAGTTTAAGAAACCTATGATTAATTGGTTATCTAAATTTGTTTCAATGTAATTATCTAATCATTTAAGCTCTAAACAGCTGGTTCTCACTTAATTGCTTATTGTTTTTGTCCTTGGGCAAAATACTGAACCCCCCCGTTGCCCCTGATGCCATCGGTTGAGTTGGCGCCGCAGTTGGCTGCCATCGGTTCTGTACCGGAAACAAATTCCTTGTGTGTAACATACTTGGCCAATAAAGGTGATTAACCTTATCCTTTTTATTTCGTCGTTACCAAATTGTATCCTGCAAACTTAACTCTTGGTTTTTGTGACATAAATGTACCTGTGCAGTGACTTGAGGCTCAGAACCTGGTCGGCACCCTTTACCTTGGGTCGACCCAAAGACCATTCCCATCAGGCCCAAACTCAGTCTTTTTTTCTAGATCAGCTCATTATTAAGTTGTTTCCAGTTTTGGTGTAACAAAGTCAAAAAGCCCCTCCTTGAACCGCCACCTTATTGTGGTGGAGGGGTTTGAGTACCCGAGTGATCCTAGGAGCTATGTTGTCAGGGGCTATATGTCCCTGGTAGGGTCTCCCAACGCAAACAGGTCCTGGGTGACGGGTCAGACTAAGAGCAGTTCAAAAGCCCTTTATGAATAGAATTCAACCAAGGACGTTGAGGTTGCCCAGCATGGCGCAGCCGGGGCCCCACCCTGGAGCCAGGCCCGGGGTCGGGGCTCGAATGTGAGCACCTGGTGGTCGGGCCTCCCCTCAGGGGGCCCAGCCGGGCTTAGCCCGAACAAGCGATGTGGGGACGTCCTCCCGCGGGTCCACCACCGGC